TCTACGAATTCGACTACGTCAGCGATGACAACACCGTTGTGGGCAACGTGACGAACATCCGAATCCAGGGTCTGGACAGCTTCCAGGTTCTGAGTGCCAGCGACTACGGCCAAACGGGCGAGGCCGCCTATGATGTGCTCTTCCCCAAGATCCAAGTGCTTGGCTTTGCGGAAATTGATGGTTTCATCAACATCGGTGGCATCAAGTTGCCCATCCGGCAAAACGATGTGATCAACGAGGCTCTTTTTGACCTGCGCTTCGTGGGAAGCTACAGCTTTGCCAACAGTCTCACCAACTCGTCAGGCTTGCGCATAGTGGACTTCAAGCAAACCATCTACCTGGCTGGCGTGGAATTGGACAACTGGAACACTCTGTGGAACATCTCCACCAACAACTTCTGGAACCGTTGGATGAAGACCCTACTGCCACTAGCTCTCGAGGAGATTCAACCCAACATCACAAACTTCTTGTACCAGAACTTCTTCGTTCCGAAGATCAACGACCTTTTGGCCAACGTCAACATGTCAGAGATGGTGAGCTTCTTCCAGACTCAGGCTCAACTCTGGGAGAATTCGAACTGCCAGGCCTAGGCGCCTCCATTAATGCATAATAAATAGCAAGCATATCAACTGAACTTGTAACTTTTTTGGGTGCAATACAAAACAGAAAGTGGGCTGTCAGAAAGTGCAGCTGGCTAATAACACACACTTGTCACGCAATACCCAAGCTATGGGTCCCAAAATCAATCTTACTTGCTGTAGAATGAATGCTAATGTATTTGCCTTGAAACATTTTTTTAACTCTTCTTAAACATAAATATGTCAAAAGGTGTCCAAAACATGGTTTAAGCATTCGTTGCTGTTCCATATTCAGGAGTGAATTAAAATGTCAAAATGTACACAATTTCAGCCAGCTCTTGAAATGCGAACTCAAAGACTGAGCGAAAATACATGTCCCATTTTCTTTATTTTAATGAACTAAATTAGCATAAAATGCCAGTGACAGGTATTCTTCTTGCCTCCTTCTCCCTGAAGCCCATTTAATTTGTCAAAAATATGGCAAGGTTTCAGCAGGCACTTAAGGGATTTACACAAAAAAAAAATTATTATCCAAAAAAGGTCAGCCAGAACTAGCTTTTACTTTGAAGTTTTCGATGTTACTAGGCCACACTCACTCCACAACATATTTGGAAGATATGGGGCATTTTTAATTCGAACTGAGTAGCCGAGGGTATATGAGTGGACTGGGAGATAACTTAAAAGTCATGATGGGTATTAAACGTCCAACCCTTCATGCACACAAACGCCATATACATACAGGCCCCCAGCTAAATATGTTCGCATTCGGTTGGGTCGACAAACCCTTATCAAAATATTTATATGACTTCACATATGCTAAGCGCAGGAACTGTTTGAAAAGAGCTCCCGAACCCCCAAATGGACCAACCACCGCTTATATATGAAAAAATGCTTAATGGCCTGTAATCTGCTTAAAACTTGGACCCGAGTTCAATTTCCAAATGGCAGCCACGAACAGAACAGAAAAGACCAAGGGGCAGGGGGATTTTAAGCTGCCCATCATATGATTCGGTTACATTGTGCGGAATGCAAACTTTTTTTGGTGCTTCTTTTTTAATTTATGATCTCTGCACGATGAAAAAGGCCTGAGCTCTTATATAATTTTACTTTTAATTAATGCCCACACACACATCAATCTCAGTGGGTTTTAGCACAAGAAATGGTTCACTTTGCACTTTAAATATAAAAACATCTGAGAAAAAATAAGCAAAAAGGGTTCACATCCTGACTCGGACCCGGAATTCAATTTTGCCTTATTTGTGCCTGGTTCCTGGGAGAGTCCTAGTCCCTGTTTCGTCCTGACGTACCCCTCTCTCAGAGGTTGATTTCCTTCGTAAATTGAATGTTTCATAATATAAATAATCTGGCTAAGAAGTAAAAATGTGGAAAACACGTTAACTTGGCTGTGGGTTAAAATTGATTACATCCATTTTGGGATGTAATTAATTGCGACATGAGCTTTCTTTGTACACTTGATAGAGTATTCAGAAGGAGTAAGCTATAATTCATTTCAATACACTAATTATGTCTGATTGCGGAACATTTGTTTAGAAAAAAGGAATTCGTAGGAAATAACTTTAAGGTTTGTAACATTTCATTTAGTCGTTTGGTGCGTCTTTTTAACTGTTTTATTTATATTACGATATGAATTCTGTGAAATTTTTGGTAAATTAAAGCATAACGCAATTCATAATCAAAAGTTTGCTAGTCTTGCATTATTATGCCCGCTAAAAAATGTATCCGAACATTCCAAGCCGATGTAATCAGAACCAAACAGCAAGAAGAGTATGTTAATTAGACCTTCATACAGCAAGGACAACGGAGGGGTCTGACAGATAAGGTCCATTAAGGGGAAGTACCACAATGTACACATAATAACTTCAATGCCAGCGGAAGACAACTGTTGAGGGACACCGAAGCACATTCATTACTAAGCCACAAACGCTGCCACAACCGTTGCCAATATCGACATTGACGGCACTGGATTCGGTGGGCCCAAGCATTGCAGGAGTTGCAGTTAAGGAACTGTGAAACTTGAGAAACTAGTCCTATTGTTCGCACAAGGAAATGATACGCGGAACCAAACAGCAGCAAAGGAAATCTAATACAAGTAGATAATTGGATATAAAATATCTTACATATGCATAATGACCTGAATTTTATATGAATTATTACAAAACTAACGAAGATTGTTTTTTACAACCTTACATCGCACTCTACTTCACAAGCTCCATTAAAATTTTGTATTACGCTAAGTTAGCAATCATCTGTGGTGATGACCCTTTGGTAGCTCCAAGGTGAAACATGCATTTACGCAGAAGCGGCTTTGCTCCCGTTGTTGTGAGTTGGCACTAAGTCTATAAAATCTTAAAAAGATTGCTACAAACTCCTCAAATTGTAGAAACAATGTCGCCTAAGCAAATTAAACATTTACAAGTGCAAATATTTTTAAAGTTAAATTAATAATTAACGACAAGTCAAGCCAAGATCCAACTTTTAATTGGGCACAATCTGACTCCAAGTCAAGTACTAAGCCTGCAGCGACATAAAAAGTTAACGACGTCAACTAAATTAAAACATAATTTTGAAACCGAATAAGTCGAAACGATGCCCTTCACCAAATGTTTCTTCAATAAGGCAGGGACCAAGTGCCAGGATGACAGAAATCTGAAAAATATTAAGCAAACATAAAAACCATTTCTTCTTGTTTGCCGGCATGCAAATCAACTCACACACCAAATAACATGCGTATTCATAAAGCAAAAATTTAAAAAGAAAGAAGCTATGGAGAATGGGTATGGGGGCAGCAAAGCAAACCAAAGCCTGCAGAATGCTGGTAGCAATATTTCTAATCTAATTTCAGAAAAGTTAGGGGGAGAAAAAAAATTAAAAGAAAATACTGGCAAGCAGAGCGGGCAAGCAAAATGCAAAATAAGAAAAATAAAATGAAAAGGTGAATACCCAAGCAAAGAATGACGAAAACACAACAATGCATCAGGGGCACGAGCCACAGAGGAACCAGGAAAATGTTGGGAAAACTTTAAAGGCGTTCGGAGAACGGGGAAAAGACGGCAAAGGAGTCGGTGGGAGGAGAATGCCGAATGTCGCTTAATGAAATTAGAAACGCATAAAAGAATAACACAAGCTGCCGAGGGAGATGGGAACTGCTTACACTGGGGATAATGTAAGGTAGGAAACTGGGACAGGGGAATACAAATCTTTAAAGAAGTATAATATGCGCTGCAGAAAAAGTCGTATTTTGTAAAAAAGTAAGAATTGTTGGAATCATTTTAATGTCTATGCTTATAATGATATATGTATGAGATCTATTGGAAATGCAACTTTTTTCAGCCCATAAACTGATTTTGAAACCTTAAAGATGCAAATAATTTTCGAAATTGTGTTTGCTCTTTTTTCTCTCCGCTGTGTTAAACCAAGGGAGGCAAATGTTGACAAGAGGCATTTGACTGCCCTGCAGGCTTTGATTCAAAAGAAAAAAGGACCTGAAGAATCTTGCTCTGGAGAAGGTGTAATATGAAATTCCCGCCCTTGCAAAACAAAGAAATGCACAGCAACATAAAATAATAAACATAATTTTGCCTTTGTCGTCGCATTTTATTATTAACAGGCAAATGCGTTGAATTTCATTAAAAGTTATGTTTTGCTCCGGCATTGTTTGCCCTGCTGCACGCACATTCAAAGTTCTTAACGTCTGCTGGAAGCCTCCGGGCGACAGCAACTGAAATTAGCAACGCAGCCCTGGCCAAGGAGAAATCTCAACGGTCGGGCGGGGGAACGAAAAGCGGAGTTTGTAAGCCATTTAGCTGCACTGACATTTGCCGCAGGTGTGCCATGGGAACAGAACCAAATCAAACCGACCTAAACCATGCAAGAGGCAACCGACGGCTAACAAAGCCAACTAAACTAAATGCTAATCTTGTTGTCCGCTGACCCGCTGCTCGCTCCCTCCTCACACCTGCAGCTCTACTGAAAGCCTTTGACGCTTCCCAAGGCCACAAAGCCGAGCAACATGTTTGACAAGTGACAGCCGTATAGCGCAGCAGGAGGCTACTGGGGGCGGGAGTGGGCGTGGCAGCGGCGCTTCAGCATGGGCGTGATATTTTAAGGACTGCTGTTCGATATTTCAGAAAGGTACTACCAACACAAAGTAAGCAGTACGTTTTGAGTTTTGCATCGCATTTTGTAATAGTTCTTTAAAATTTTTCTTTATCTATTCTTCATATGCCTACTTTTTGTGATGGGCAGCTTCACATGCTTTTCAGATTTTGCACCGTATTAGCTCTCGATAAATTGCAAATTAAAATTTAAAATTCAATAAATCCTCCGCACACCCATACCTACCCACCTAGAATATTCAACGCGACTAAAGCATTAAAATGCAACAATTTGTTTTACTCGCAGGCCCCCAACTCCACTCGAATCGACTCGACCTGAAGCACATCCAGGATGCAGCAGTGGTACGAGTGACCGGTGGCAGAGGAGCTACTGTGGGGGAATCAAAAAACATTTTACGAGCGCATTTCAACTGTAACAAATGTCCCAGGGCCATTGACAGAGGGGCGGTGTGGAAGGCGGGAAATGCATTGGCCACCCAGCCAGGGCGGAAGGATGGTGCGGGGCAAGCACAAAAGCTGACCTCATGCACAAAATCCAAAGCCAACGACAATCGAAGGCAAAAACCACGAGAGGGGATTGGCAGAATCGAGAGAGGAAAATCTAGGGTCTAGCTATACTCCACAACGAAAAATCTGTTCGTGATTTAGCGATTAAATGCAAGATTTTTCTAGGTAAAGTGTCGGTTTAAAATATATGTATAATTAAGGGTTCATGATTTTTCTAAGAACCATTTTCAAGTAAAAGGAAATGATTTTATGATTGTAGATATGATTTGTCAGCAAAAATGTAATGGTATTGATATTAATCCCATAATGAACTTAAAAACGCGTATATTAAACAAAATCTTACAAACAATACCAAAATATTCTTCTAAAACAATTCAAGGAGTATTTCCCCTAATGTAGATTAGGAATTATTGAATAAAACTCGAACTTTATTTCTAAGTGCAAACGAGGATAATGTAAAGACGGGGTTCGAGGTACAGGCTGTCCCTGGATGTTGCCGAGTATTTGGGTGCACGGGGGCATCCTGCCCTCACACCCACATCGACACACTGGACTGGCAGCGCGACATGGACGAGCGCTACCTGTGTGCGTGTCTGTATATTTAGTATGGCTCTGGGTGCAATTACCAATGAACGTAACAGGTGATCAATTGTTATAAAACTCCCAGGGTGCTTTTGCTTTTCATTATTTTCATTTCACCGTTGGTGCCTCTCTGCATGTGTGTCAGAATGGGTGGGGCGTTGCTGTGTGTGCGGGGTTACCCCAGGCCTTTGAGTCCCCGTCGAGGTTTGTGTCCTGTGTGCAGAGCCCTGCAATTTTAGTGTCGCCGCCAAGGCATGGAATTATGTACATGACGCGTATACTTGATTTCGCTCTTTCCGCTTTCGCCGCTGCCGGGCAAGTCGAGCAGGCGATTAAGCGTGACCAATGGCTCTGCTACTTAGTTACCCTAGATGTTTATGTCCCTGCACTTCTCACGACAAAAAGTAAACGCCAACATTTAATCACGCCCTAGCGTTAACAAAGGAAGAGGGCCAAAATAAAAAGAGGAACGCTTGGCTTTTGTTTGCCAATGCTGTCAGCTGCATAAATTGCAGGCCATCGGCAGGACATCGTGTTGCTGCTCTTGGAACTTTGTTCAGGTCCCTTAACTGGGGATCTGCAAACTACCTAATCGCGACTGTTAGTTACGGTGGATTGATTCCTGAAAAGCGCCCTAGTGGGTGGCTTTCAAGGCGATTTAGGACCAGGCAAATACTCTGCTATATAAACTGACAATTAGTTAAACTTTTCATTCAGCTTAGTGGAGATACTAAGAAATCTATTTGATTCCGTTCAGACTCAACATATAACGTAATTAATTATGCGAGTGCAGAAATCACTACTCATGGCTTCGTTAAGTGGAATTTAAAAGAGAGTGCACACAAATTCCAGATAAGCCTGGTGCTCAGCAAACCAAACTTCATGGCACTCAACTAAACGCATTATACCATTGGCTACCAGTAGCAGGCACATACCCACATTCGCACTGGAAGAGAGCGACACAAGTGGAAGCTAGACAACCGCTAATTGAATTAAAGCCACTTCAAAGTTGTAAACAGGGAACGGGCTCGTTGCGAACGATTTTCTGCCCTGCCCAGCCCCACCACTTAACAGGCAGCACAATAATTACGCTTTAAAATGCTAATACATCAGCGCGAGTGTAATTACTTCAAACACCTTGCCACAGGTAAGCAGGCAGATGTGTTTGGGAGTTGTTGGCGCCAGCAGCTGCAGCTCCTGGCCGCTGACAAATCCCCGTAGCTACGCCAGGACCCCAACTCATTAGCAGTTCGAGTTGGCCAAAAAACAACGCGCACACAAAAATCAGTCAGAAGGGCAAAGTCAGGCCAGAAGCGAGGCGCCCGGCGCCCGGCGCCAGGCTATCTCAGCTCGCCAAGTATGGGTGCGAGTGCCTGTGTGTGGCTGCACTAATGTGTCATGTTAAATTAACACTTTAATTTATTCCGCGTTTGCCAAGCTGCAAAGTGCATATTTAATCAGTTTGTATTTGCGTTTCCTTCGTCCCACGTTTTTTGGGCTGCGGCTGGAGTGGCGGGGGTGTTGCGATGGGCGTCTGTCTGCCTAACGCTTTGTATTTGTATATACAACCGAGACCTTAACACCACCACGCCGTCGCTACTGAGAGCTTTTTTGTAAGCCAGTTTAATTCACGCTTGTATTTTTAATTGCTGCGTTTAACACACAAAGGGAATTTTAAAATATGCAAACACATACCAAAATAATAGAAAATAATATCCGAACATTCATACAAATGCATCGCTAATTGTACAAGTGTTTGTGTTCCACGCGAGCAGTATGAGGCATTATGTAAATATGGCATTTAAATGTGCATTTAAGTAACACAAGGTCCTTTACAAAAATGTTTTTGTTATTCAAACGGATGGAGCAATAATATAAGGAAAATTGGTTTAAAAATCATTATTTTATACAAATTTTTCAATAATTTCAAATGGAAAATTAATTTGTGCCCCTAAACCCAACTTGAGACGTAAGTGTCAACGCCTAAGAAATGATACAACTCCACCCTTAAAAAATTCGAATTCTCAAAATATAAATAAAACATTACAAAATATTTAAATCAGTGTTATTTACTTCAACAAAATTCTCTTGGTTTCCAAAAAAAAACTATCCAACAAATATACGTTTGTAATGTACAAAAGAAAACAACATACGGACCTATTGTTAAATAAAAATGATCAACATAATTACAATCTTTTTTACAAGACAGGTGTAACCTCCAGTGTCAATAAAGACAGTAAATATATAATATAAAAGGGTTTTAAGTTGTGGCACTCTATTCAAATTCGGTCAATTTTCTTGCTTCCCTTTGAAGTTTTGTTAATTAAAATTTAACGACTGCAGCTAAGAGCTTACTTGTTGTCATAATACTCCAACCGAGTTGTCTGTGTATGACCGGCTTTTTAATTTAACAATCATTTCTTCCCTGACCCTTTTGTGTGTAAGTGCAACATGTGGGCCCATAGTCCATTCAAGTGAACAATGCAGTCAATTCAAAGTCCGCGCTGGGCAAAAGGCCAACCCTGTGCCGGGTCAAACAGAACAGAATGTCACTGCCATTATGATCAAGGGCCAAAAGTGCAGTCTTTGTGGACCAGCAGCAGCAGCCATCTAGCAAACCACACAATGCTATAGCTATATGGTAGAGACCTTTAGGTCTGCCTTAAAGCCAATCGAATTTAACACATGTTGACGCTTACATTTGTTAATATTTCCCTTAATCTAGCTACAGGACTTTCAGCCCCAGGAAAAATGAGGTTGAACAAAGAGACAAGCTAGAACAGGAAGAATTCCAGAAAAGATTTTGGACGTATGTTTGAAAGGCATGTTTAAATAAAAAAATATGTAAGTGTTCGCTTTAAGATGTAGAAAAAATGGTTTGTATTGAAAAATATTCACCCCCGTATAAGAGGAAAAAATATAAAACATTCCAATTACAATGACGATTGGTAGACAACGTTAAAGTTGATTTTCAAAGAAAAATTTATGAAGTCTATATTAAGGGTATGTATATATCAGGCTTTTAAGAAGAACTTACATTCTTTTTCCTTTTCATGTTTTCTTACGATGAGGGCACAGTTAAGCTAGCCAGTTCTTGTTTCCTTTGTTTTGATCGAGCCACGCAACTCTCGTTTGGTCGTTTCTGTTTCTAAGCAAAACACCCACGGCTCGGCGGCAGCAATTCGGTTGTAAAAACACAGCTGCACCAGCTGAGGCCTACCTGGAAAAGAGAGAGAAAATTCAGTTTTAGGTCGGGACTTTTCACTTTTCTTGCGCCACCCCCACCATCAGCTCGACCGCAAATCAACCTCCAAGCACTTTTGGCTATCAGACTGGACGGAACCGTTCCCACATCCTGAAAAGGATGGCGTGCGACTGGGGGTCGAGCCTACGCCACCAACTTTCAATTAAGTCGCACACACATCCACAGGGAGGGCGCTGGCAAAGGCAATCACCTGAGGTGGCTTCGAAGTAATTTACGCAGTTGAATTAATTTTCCCGTCGAAAAGAGTTGCGGTATGGTCCTAGCCCGAAAAACGGAATTACCCTGTTTTCCCACCTTCGCATATCAATCACAAATATCGCCGAGAAACCTCTCCCCAACCTTAATTAGAAAGTAAATCGTGAACATTAATTAAATGCTGAAATACAACTTCACCCTTTTCGCATTTTAAGGTTGTTAATCAAAGCGGCATGCAGCTGAGATTATTTTTAGGTGGAGAAAAGTATATTTAGCACCTTGAGCAATTGTATAACTGGAAGCAATAGTAAGGTTTTTGAGCATCATTTGCACGTCATCAGCGCGCCTTAGCGTGAAGCTCAGTCATAACTTGATGTGCAATTTCACGCACCTGTGACAACACGTAGTATCAGCTCCGGCCCACACTTAACGCTATTGCAGCGTTTTCTGCATAGTCAAGTTGTTCCTGATGGCCACCATTTTCTAATCACTGAACTATCCTCAGCAAAACAATAACTCAACGGTTGAGTGCTTCTGTTATAAGACAACGGTGAGTGGATACCTAGTAAAAAAAATGTGTAACATACCTTAAAGGTGCTTGCCTCGAAACAAATGTTGGCATGTAATGAAAAATATATCCCTAGTTGTTTGCGAATACAGTAAGTGCAACTGTTTATGCAAACATTTTTTTGAAATACATTGCAATATCGACTAGGCTTTAAATGCGTCTATAGCAATTTCTTTTAAAAAAAAACAATATACTTTTTGTATCACATTAAACAGTATAAAATTCGAAAATGGAAGGTACAAATATAAAAGTGGTTTCCTTCGACCTTCTATTCCCTTTGGTTGCAGTCTGCTGTAGGTTACGGGCATCTAGTCACGTAGTAAATTTAGCATTTTTGTTTTTGAAAAAATAAAATCAGCAGCCTAGTCTCATTTATCAAAGAGCTGAAACTAAGGGAGTTACCCAGCGTAAATGTTAAAAGTCTAGACGATGGCACCCTTCTTCACACTTGCATAACCAATAGGATTTTACCTATTGCAAAGACGCTTTACTAAGAAATTCTCTTATGCAACTGCAACTGGAAAAAGCCTGTGGACGTGAGGAAGGCAAACAAATCTTTTATCAACAGTCATTTTATTGGGACATGCCAAATTAACAAATAGATATGCCGGGAAATGATGATGATAGCTTGC